ACATGCGCGATGCGTGGGACATCCTCAACGTCAGTATTAGGACAGGACAGGCTGGTCGGAGGAAATGGTGGCTGAACGAGGGGCGCCTCGACAGGCAGACGCGGCAGGCTCGCGGACTGGTCGCGGTTTCTCTCCCTAGAAGGGACGGAACCCGTGAACAGTTCACTCGGCGTAAGCTTGCCGCGATTGCCAATGAGTTGTTAGGCTCCCTCGATCCGGCACATACCGACCAGAGGGGGGTGATACAGGGATGAGAACCGACCCCGATGCACAATCCCACCAGTCTGATGATGCCATGGAGCCGCGCCATCCGCGGCCGCCGCCGCGCCCTGCTCCTGGCGATGCTGCTGCGTCCAGCGCCTCAGGCGCGACGGACTACACGCCCGCGGGGCCGCGTGCCAAGAGAGCGCGTACATCAGATTACGCCGCGTACTGGCGCGACGACCTCGAGGACAGCTACTGGGGTCTCAGGTACTGGAGTTACTACATCAACTGTTGGATCTACATCGCGATCAACAACGATGAGTACGTATACATCCAGGACATCACGTACAATGATTGGTTTCGCAACTAGATCCCGAGAACGGCTTGGGAAACATTCACGACGAGCTACGCGGCATACAACGGCCAGAGGATGTGGGACCGTAGGTTCTACAAGAACGGCAACGCGTAGTGAGTCGGCCGCAAGGCCCACCGCTCAAAGGCATGAACTTCATTATAACCAAAGTTCGCCTTGAGCGGTGGCTATTACATACTTTTAGGCCACTTCATTATATAACGTAAGTGGCCACGCACACAAATATCTTTTGCGATAACCGAGGCAGCCCCCTAAGGAGCAACGCCAACGGGAGTCGCCAAACAGAATTTATACACGTGAGTTTTCGTGTTCATCAACACGACATTATGTCTGGCCAGACATTTGCTTTTACACAAAGATGTGTTTCATTTCAAGATCGTGTTTGTCAACGCGATCTTAGCAAGCATATTTTAACAGTTTAAACCTGATTGCGTCGAGAATAATCTGATAGCTGGTGGCAACACCTGCCTCGCAAAAGCGAGGCAGTTTGCAAGTTGCTTTAACGCTCAGATTTTCTTTCTCCGCCCACCCTTGTCTCATTCTTCCCCGCCCTCGAGTGCCGAAGCGTTTTGGGGGGCGCGCCGAGGGGGCACCAAAGCGTGCCTGGCGAAGAAAGGGGGGCCCAGGGTGTTCCTTCTAACTTCACTTTGCAGCTGTGGCTTCGCTGATTTTAAGCCCAGCTGCCTTCTGACTGAAGGACCAAAGGAGTAAATGGGTGGCGGGTTCCCTTCCTTTGTTCCCGAGTCCTGCCCTCGCGGGCGGGATTCGGGACGGGGGGTGTGAATGGAACCCGCATAATACCTTCATATATACTCCTTATCCTTACCTCTCCTGCGCCTGGCCGTTTGGGCTCAGGCATTGAGATAGATCGATCAGACCTTGATCGCGCGGGAGGGAAAGATATCCATCTATCCCTCCTTCTCTCTACCAACGGATCAGGGGTTCTGTGCCCTTGTACTTCAACCCCATACACACCAAGAGGCTCCCACGAAACCCCGCGAAGCGCCCAATAGGCCCCCGGGAAACCCCAAGAGACCCCCAAGGGGCTCCCAGGGAACGCCCAAGTGGCCCCCCAACACACCCCAACAAACCATGTCCCCAGAAAACCTTCCGGGGACATGGTTCATCATGGGCCCGAGAGTTCTCGGAGGCTCCCAAGGTCTGGCCCCCAGGGAACGCCCAAGAGACCCCCCAACACACCCCAACAAACCATGTCCCCAGAAAACCTTCCGGGGACATGGTTCATCATGGGCCCGCGAGTCTCCGGAGGCTTCGAAGTACCATCATGCTACAGGAGAGTTGTCTGGGAAGTTGATTGGGAACATGACTGATCGCCTTCTCGCGGCCCTCCGCAGATCGTTTCGCACAAAGTTGCCCCGAGTGCCCTCTTGAACCGACGACGGCGACGAAACGACGAAGACGACGACGACGACGACGACGACGACGACGACGACGACGACGACGACGACGACGACGACGACGACGACGACGACGACGACGGCGGCGGCGGCGGCGGCGGCGACGGCGGCGGCGGCGGCGGCGGCGACGACGACGACGACGACGACGGCGCGCCCCAATGGGCGACGACGACATTACGACGATGACGACGACGACGACGACGACGACGACGACGACGACGACGACAACGGCACGCCCCAACAGGCTCCCCAAGACGCCCCCAAACCCATGCTCCCAGAATGCCTTCTGGGAACCCGATTCATACGGCCTCCGCCCCCCTACACAACCGTTTTCCTCGAAGGCCTTTCGGAATGCAGATTGGCATGTGTGTACTGTGGTCCACTACTTCAGTGGAGCAGTGAATTCGTCAAGGCCTGGGGCCTGCTAGAACCTGAGCGCGCGCGCGGAGCGCGCGCGATGGTACTAGTGTATATATATATATGTATATCTCGCATCGTCTGCCCAGCCGTATTCGTTGCCTGCATCATTCCTGCCTTGCTAATCGTAATGCTACAGACTATCGCTCCGACGTGGTACTTATTGAAGCATGGGTTGCGTACACTTGTACCTTCCTTATACGTGTGTCGTCGTTGCGCTTGCACGAGTGCTGAACCCGCATCCACGTATCATTTGATTCGTACTTACGTCAACGTGCGCTCGATTTGTGTGCGATGTCATATTCAAACTGTGCCCGCTTCCGGTGCCATGCCCGTGTCCGATCTGTTGTCCATTCGCGTTCGAATATGATCTTAGTGATTTCATGTTGCCGTGCCAGTTTTGGGGTATCTACCTTCAAGGTGAAGATACGGCATAGCAAACACAAGTCAAACGCATCCTTCCCTTGACAGTGCACGTATTGCAGGATGCAATTTGTTTGACCGGAGATGGGCTGCAGAGTGAAAACGCAATGAACGTACATTGTTCACAGTGTTTCAAGATTTTTGAACGGGCTTACAGGGAGGATCATACAGGGAATGTCATGATCCATATCGGGCGCTGATTTGGCTCATTTTAGCGTTGCCCGATTTGCTTGCCTTGCGCCTGTGAAGATCCATCGAGACAGAACGTCGGATAAAGGCCACATCCACCGATGGTCGACCATACCATCCCATGTTGTATCTCTTACTTCTCGTCCCGCTAGCCATCAATGGAGAAACTATGAGATGCCCCGTTACGTTTACGACGCGATCTTTAAAACAGGGTCTCGGCTTATTGCCTCATGGAGCCCCTGACCCTCGCATTTCAAGTTGTAGCGGAGTTGCCTCATGTTTATGTGGCTGGCTCTTACATCAGGTGTTATGTTCATACCAACCTACCACGGCACAGTGGAGTATTCAATTGCGCCGGTTATCATCCACTACATTCCCAATGTTTTTCCCTATTCTTCCATCTCCCCACCGCGTGGCAACACGCCGGGCACAGACCAAACCCCACAACCATCCGCAAATTGACGGACGCGTCAGACCAATCACCCAGTCGTAACCCCTCGGGCACGACAAACGACAATGAGACAAGCTTGGACGTCATCACCGACAACATGACCATGCATTATGCTAGGGGTACCTTCATTGGACTTATGGGGGCGCGTTTGGGTCTGGTCGCGGGTTACGTGCGAGGAAGGACTGGATGAGACACGCTGGCAGTGCACATTTCCGCGATTTCGTTCGCGAAGATCACGCATGGCCCAACGCCGCGAGCGGAAAGAGGTTATTAGCCGGGACGCTGGCCATGAGGGTGCCATCTACCATCATTAGTTACGGCGTAACTTTACAGGTCGACGCACCGATGGAATCACAAATATCATGTACTTCCGGGGCGCCTATTTAGAACTTCTCGGGGATGAGCGACAGTTTACCTTTGGAACAGCCCTCGGCGACTCGATGGTCGAGAGAGGCCAACGCATCGACGCATGACTGGCCCCATTTGACATGGCCAGGCTGGGAGCCGATTCGGCTGGCTTCAACATGCCCAACTTGCAGATCCTGACGTGGAAACTCTTCCGTGCGTTGGGTGCAGGTACTTCCCGAGCATCGCAGCTACTACAACCGCTCAACCACCATACGCCCGTATTCAACAACAGCGCGAACAATTTCTGGAGCGCATGCGCGGCTATGGACACCTGGCTGGGCGCTCCCCAGGTAACATCGCGAGCATCTTCAGCGCCCGCAGTGCTTGTACTTTAAAATGCAGAGGTAAGGGATGCACCGGCGGCCACGCCGAGCATCATTTGGAGGGATGGGGGGGCCACCGAATCTACAACTGTTCTGCGCCAAGAGGCCAGCGCGGCGCAGGCCTCTAGCCCTAGCGCTGGATGGCCATCGGCCGCCAGCTAAACGCCGCCCGACGCGACCGCCTTCTGGGGCTCATCCAACCAAAACGAGGACGACATCTTTGGCTCGGGCACAGCTATTGACACGCGCTCACCGCTTGGCGCTGAACACCGACGACACAGCGGCGCAGTATCTACACTTAGGTCATCAGCGTGCTAAGATAAGGTCGAGACGGCGCATGACAACAAAAAAAGCCAGTTAAGGTATTCGGGCGAGCTGTGCGTCGTTTCTTCTGTCGAAAGGGTACAGGGTCGCATAAGGAACGGTAGGCGCACCCGCATGTTGCGTGGAGCAATGGCCCCTCTCTTTGCTGAGCAGGTTACGATTTGGAGGACCTTGTCTTTGGTGTTACAGGCAGAGGCAAAGGTCGCATGAATACCACTGGCAAAAGAAGGGGCCGCATGTTGACTCCCATGGGCCAGAACTTGCAAACGCGCGCCGCGCAGCTCACGCAGAAGCGATCGACGCTGTGAGGTCCAGGGCCCCATGCGACATGGAAAGGGGGATGGATCCAAATTTCTTCGCTCAGGGCAACAGCAAAAATGCGTGCTGGAATGCGCTGACTTCCCCGACCTAGAGCATCCTCTCATGCGCGATATGGAACCACCTGGTTTCTGATGGCACATGTCGCCGAGGCTGCCGTGGCAATCGAACGCTACGCCGAGTGCCTGCGCGACGGCGTCGAGGGGGCCCACGACGCGCCGCGCGAGGCCTGGGCTGGCATGCGTTGGAGCGGACGCGCGCGCGACCACTCGGGCGGCGACGATAGCGAGAATACGACGGCGTTTCCGAAGCAGGGACCAACCCTGCCATTGAAGCCAGGCCGCTGGAACACCAGCTCGGACACGGGCAGGGAGGTCTCCAATGTCGGGCGGCCCCGATAACGGCTGCAGAGGCGGCGGTCGCCGTGGCCGCGGCGCCGCGGCAGGCCGTCTTAGGGGATCATGCCCGGGCGCGGGCGGAGACGGTCGAGGCCGCAGCCCCTCGCGCGCCGCAGGCCTTTCGCCCGGAAAGGTTGCGCCCAGTCTGCTGGCCCTTCGCGCGGCGCGGGCTCCAGCGGATGGGGCCGGGGAGAAGGTCGCTCTTCCTTTTCCCGCGGCGAGGGGGGCCCGCGCGCGGACGTGGCCGATGGGTATATGGCGCGCTGGCTAAACGTGGGCTGCAGCGAGCGAGACTTTCGCCACTGGCGGTCCTCTCAGCATGTTCTTCGCGACGAGCACGGTCGCGCCGTCGGGGCTACGCGACGCCGAGGTGCAAATCGCGAAGGAAAGCGCCGGTGCATGCGAGACCTTTTCATGGCCCGCGAAGACTATCGCATGCGCGGCTGATTTGCAACGGCAGACGTCGCGGCAGGTGCCTGAAGGATCGGCCATCGCGCAGCCCTTAGCACCGAGAGGCCCCGCGGCATCCTGACCTCGGCAATTTATGCCGAGTGCCTGCCCCGAACCGACGCCGAGGTTTCTGGCGCCAAGGTCGATGGGAGGTCGCCCCCTGACGACCGCGCCCTGAAAACTTACGATCAGGACTGGCATCGCAGGCTGCCCCGACGAGCCGCGCGAGGACATGGGCGATTCCAGCATCCCTCGCCAGCCGGGGCTGAACGCGACGGGGCAGGCCATCGGCTGCTCCGGCGCTGCCCCTCCCGAGCCCCCACCGACGTCGACGCGGGGCGCGGATGGGGCGGCGGAAGGGGCGGGGCGACGGGGGGGGGGCGGGCGGGGGGGGCTTTGCGCCCGCTTCGCCAGCGGACGAGGGCGGCAAAGCACAGGAAGAGGGTGGAGACGCTCAAGACCTGGCCCCTGTAGCCGCGCCACCAAGGGCGGCGCCCGCGAAGGAGCTTCGCCCAGGTCATGCTGTGGACCTGTCGCAATCCCCAGACGATGACGCACCAGGCGCTAGACTAGGTGGAGCCACGCGCGGCCCTCTGCGCAAGCCTCGGCGGGGGCGTTCAGGCAGCGTCGCCAGTTGAGCCGGTGCCTTCGCGTGTACCTCCACCCCCGTGCCCAAGCAAGCGGTCGCCGCGCGCTAAGGCGAGTCCCAGGACGGCCCGGCGCATCGCGGCGACGGGGCGCCCGCCTTGAGCAGGGGAAAATGAAGTTCGGAAGTGGGCAAGTCATCGGGCCTGAAACGCCAGCCAGAAATTGGGGCGCCTTTCGACCCCGCAGCCACGCGGCGACGACAAGCGACACATAATCTGGCATCTCCACAGAAGTGACAGCAACGGAGAAACTCCGATTAGCACGGCCTCTCGCCATTGGAAAAAGAAGCTCCAATTCTAGAGGCCAGTATGGACGGGCGAAGGTTACAGACACTCTTGCACCATCTCATCGTGAGCTTACCCAGAGGTCCGAATGGTGGTCTACCACGTGCCGTCACAATGGGGCCATCAACGAAGCCTTTCAGGTCACGCGCCCCACGTGGGAAAGATATGATGGCTGGATCTGGGCCAAGGACGCGCTGAGTAACGTCTGGGGAGGACATGGTTGCGACGCGGTCCAGCACTGGATGCGAGGTTACGACGACAATTCTATCTCCTGGCTGATGCTGAGAGCCGCCAACATGACGGACAGTTCAGGTCCCCGAATGGGCCGCTTCCAGTTAAAGTACACGAACGACATCAGAGGAGAGTTGTAGTTATTTACCAGGGCCACCAATGGACACGCTCGCTCAGGATTCTCATGCCCTAAGTCTCTCTATCGTCCCGTGACCTACCGTCGGCGCGGCGGGCAATCTTATGTTCTTTGCTCGCGGCGCCACGTGCGTGTTCTTAGGAGGCGTCCTCGTCGGCAGGCTGTCCCGCCGTCGGGGGCAGTGCCCGAGGAGTAGACGCGGCTGGCAGTTCGTGCGCGGTTGCCCGCACTTGCCGGGGGGGCCGAGGATTCGGTCCGCTCTTCGCATTGACTGCGAGGTCTTCACATTTTAATCATCTCGCTTTTGTTGCGAGATCAGGCCACAGCGTGGCGATCTTCCATCCGCATTGTGCTGGCCGAGGGCACCGACGGCATCGCCCCGACCAAGTGCTTCATCCACTTGGTGGATCAGCCCGAACTCTACGTCAACAGTGCACGTCAGAAGCCCCGATTCTTTCGCGCACAGCACCAGCCCGAGATCCAGTTGAGCACGGTCGACATTCGACGCAATTTCTCAAGCCCGCCAGAGAGTTCGCTCTCGGAACCGGAACGTTAGACAGGCCCCTGGGCGAAGAGGTCCACGTGCGCCTGATGATGGCTGCGGGGGCACCTGCTGGAATCGCAACTCCCGCCAATGCCGGGCCACCAGCCGCCCTGCCAAAAGACGCGGAGTCGCCGGCCTCGTGGATGTCACCGGCGCCCAATGACGTATCTACCGCGTCTGACATTGTCACTCACAAGGCACGACCCTTCGGGGGCCGCCCTACACAGTCGTGACAAACGCTTCTTCAATTTGCTATGATGAAGATCTCTCCCATCCCTCTCCATATTCCTCACGTGACAAGATGCTGGGTCATTCGGCGGAGTAGTTTCCGATCCCGGAGACGTTAATAACTCTGTTACCCCAAAACGGGATCGACAACTATTCCGCGCCAAACCATATAAATTATCGATTCGATTGCACGCGGAGTAGTTTTAGTGAAGCAACTCCGAACTATTCCGCGCGAGCGCGTCATTCCAAAAGGCAAATCGAAAGGAACCTTCGCCGCGGCGATGCAGGCGGTGCGCCAGCAGGACCTCCGACAAGTTTCGGGCCACCAATGCCGCAATCGCACGCGGGCTCCACGAGGTTCGAGGCAATGGCATTTTTGCCAAATCAGGCCCGAAGCAAGCCTTGCATCAGGGGCGGGCGCGCCCTCTGGCCAGCAGGCGCCGGCGGCGAGCAACGAGGATTTGATGCATCGCGTTGCCATCCCACGACAGCAGCCAGACCTGGCGGCAGCCATGATGGCCTCGACGCCCTTCGGCACACCACGCCAAAAACAGGCCACTGGCAGTGCTGCCAGCTCCCCGATTGGGGCGCCAACGCAGCACCGGCCTGGACACGGGCAGTCGGCGCTGGAACAGTAACGGCGGCGAACTGGACTCCCATGGGAGTGGATCCCAGACGCGATTCCCTCGTCAGATCATGCTGATAGGTTGCCGTTCATTCCTGCGTTCGCGGCGCGCCCGACCTACATGCCACCCCATGCGCCAGCTGCGCCGCCGGTGGATCAACCGCTGTTTCCCAAATATTTCGCGGAGGTCAACGAAAGGCCAATGGCGGGCCAGTTTACCCATAATCAGGTGACGCGGGACATGGCTGACTAATTTTGCTGTTTACAGGCGGTGCGTGTGCCAGGCGCGCATTCGTACGCGCGCGTGACTCATCGGCCACTTCCGGGCACCCTTGAGACCGAGGTGCCGCTAGCTGCCCTTGGGACCAACGCGCCCATGAACAATTTGCCCCCAGGCTTGCACGACGCCCATGCCATGATGCAAGCCAGCACGTGCGCAACAGAGGACGCCCAGAGGGTTGCATGGGACTGAGCCGCAAGGCGCATGCAGCATATGATCAACAATGCCCAGCGTGGGCACGCGCCTACTACCCGGGATGGGCACAATGCCCAGTCCGAGGTCTACCAGGGATGGGCCACCTCCACGCAGCAGCGTCAAGGGTGGACGCGCCTTAACACTCACGCGCCTGTCGTTTCGGACATATCTTTCACGCAGTGCGCGGCGCGTTTCGAATCCTTCGTCTCGCGTTTGGAGATTCGGAGACTGCAGTGCGGGCGCCAATGCTGCGCCGAGCGTTCGGGCCGCAGCGCGCGCGCACGCGTGGCGACCGGCCGAGCGGGGGCCGACGTGGAGGCCCCAAGTGCCATCTGCAGGGGGTCAGCCATCACTGTGGCGGAGTATCCGGGCGCGGGTTACATTGACGCGTCAGGTACCTCAGCCGCCGCGGCAATGCAGCAGGCTCAGGAGGTTTACGATATGCGAAGGGGGCTGGATGAGGTCCTGTCAGCGATCGCTGCCGACAGCTCGTCCAGCAGCGACGCGGCGCCAACTCGGTCCCCAGCCGTGGTCTCGCCAGTCCCGCTCGCATACGATGCGGGAATACTTGCAATAAATACTTCGTCGATCCAAGATGCGGGGGCACCTGCTGCTCATGGCCCGCTCCGGCTCCATTGCCTTGTTCACGTTCACATTTTGGGTAGACCTCGATTTTGAATCGACCCTCTGGCTCTTGAGCGATCGAGGCCTGCGGTGGAGTCCCGCGCCCTTTGCCGCTTGCCGTTGATGTTCGAGGCGGTCTAGCAACGGCTTGGTGACTTGGTTGGGCCTAGGCGCTAGCAGGCGGCGGCGTTCACGCTGCGGGACATTGAGGTCCGCGCCGCGGGCCAGGCCGTAGATTCCCTGCCCGAGTCTCTCAACAGCAGGAGGCGCGCTGATTGGGCAGTCGAGCAGGAACCTGCGACCATGGGGGAGATCCACACGTTCCAGAAAAACTGGGATCCCACGGCCTTAGGTCTCGGACGGAGTCAGTTCATTATCCGCCAGAGGAGGCTCAGGCGTCACATGAGTGTGGACACGTGCGCAATCGCAACCCGAGCAGGCATCCAGCACGCATGCGCGTCTGGTAAGTTCAAAGCGCTTATCTCTGGCAAGCTCAGTTTGCATGTGGACATTGACTAGATCATCGACATCATTGGAGCTAACGCCGCCAGGGAGTTCGATGGCTTATCCCGACATCGTGAGCACTTGCCACGGACCATGACCTTCCAGCGTTTGCTTTACGTCAACTGTATTGGGCGTGGTGCAGCGGCATGCCGCTGGTTGGGCGCAGTCATGATTGTGTGCCAGTACCATCGCCGCGACGAGCCGCCGACCTCCAAGGTGGGCGCTTTCATCGGTGACATTGCTGACTTCCACGTAGCAGAAGAGGTCACCATTCCCCAATCAGCGCTTGCTCTGAAGGGGTCCTAGCGGATATTGAAAGATTTGGCGAAAGTTTCCCGCCGATTTGGGCGGCCAGCTGGGTTCCCGGGTCCCCAGGTCCGGGTTCCCGGATTCTTGGTTATTGGTTTCTCTCATTGATGGAAGTTTTTCTTTGGTGTAATCATTGATACTGGAGGATGACAAGGAGCGCATCATCTTCCCAGGCGCGGTCGCGCACAAGGCGCAGAGGGACGCCCTCAGGGCATGTGGCCACCCCCTGCTCCCGCAACGGGGAGGCCACTCCCAGTCCAGAAAATGAGGCACCGGCAGAATCCGAGCACAACATATGACCGCCACTACCTAGATCGGGTATACATTTAAATACGATTTGGTACACTCGTTCCCCTCCCGCCGCCAACGGCAACCAGGCTGCCCCCTGTCTCATACGGATCAAAACAGGATTCATTAAAGCACGCGCGGCGGTGGTGTACATGATTAAGGTCACAAAGAGGATGGATTCGTATGCACCGCCATCGAGAATGTGTGTTTCTGCGTCAGGAACTCCCGATGCCACGTCGCCTGCGCGCTGCGCCGCGCTCCTGTTCGTCGCGGCGTTGCAGCGTCGTTTGTCATTACCCTGCCACTAACCATGTTTGCGATGAATTATTGTTGCGGGCGGTTGTGGCGCATAAAGATTGGCTTCGCGCAGAAGCCATCACCAACGTCAGCGCAGCGGGCACTGCCCAGCGCGTCACCGAGACGGAGGCTGATCGCGGGCAGACGTCTCACGAGAGCCAGGGCGCCGGCGAATGTGACCGCGACGGTCTGACACGCTTCCTGGACCAGGTCGTTGACTACGCTGTCTCTATGATGGTCAGTGCGCCGATGGGTCATTGATATCGATCACACCGCCCGGTGGACCGCAGCGAGATGACGCGCGCGCCGCTGGCAGGAACCCACCAAAAAGTCAAAGAGACAGCGGGGGCGTGGGAGCCAGACCCATTGACGCATCGCCACCGCCCACATCTCGAGGAGGCTCGGGACTGGCTGACAGGCCGCCCCAGGATGACCACAGCCCAGGAAGAATGGGGGCCCGTCGCCCTCGACCTGGACGACCTGCCACGCATCTACGAAATGGGAAATCCGAGTTCGTCGGCGCATAACACTGCCGACCAGGGTGACACGAGCCACACGGGAGGGCGGACATTCACAAGTAGCGAGCCACAGAGCACCCTGCCTCACATCGACGATCCCCGGCAAAGTCTGCTTCGAACCCCAAAGGGACCAGGCGCGCGGGCGCGCGCTGCATGGCTCAGAACCGCATGGGCACGTGCTGGAAAACAGTCGATGAGTCTCTTCACTCTAACGCGCGTGTCATAGAATATATCAGCTTGGTTACCTCCGTAGTGTGCCGCCGAGGTTGCATGCGTGATCGCATTGCGCAAAGTGAAGGGACGATATCAATGGGGCGCCACTGCGTAGGGGGCGCGTTGGCGGGAGATTCCGCGCTTTTCTGGGTGGCCACACCCGCTGACTGGCGCGCGAGACTACCAGGCAGGCGTGCTGGGCCACGCTGCGACAGAATACGTAACCTCCTAACCAGAGCGCGTGCTCTCAGGATGCACATAGACATCCTGGGGCAGCCTAAAGCAAAGATTTGGATGCGTCTCTGCCGCTTTGACATCGAGCATGACCGTTTCAATGGGGGGCCTGTCGGCTCATATTTACAAGCACGAGCATCGTTCCCTAGAACTGCCGTTTACCTTTTGGATATGCGCGCGTGCATGCACCAATGGACATCAGCCGCAGTGGCCCGGACGCGACCATCAACGCGCCGAATGACGAAACAAAGCCACGGCATCCTGGAGCGCAACTGGCGCGCCAACCGAACAAACGCAGGACCGCCGGGAAGTATACACACAACCGCATATTTAAACGTGTTCATCCGCACGTATACAACAAACCACGTGCAATCGAACCCCTTGGACCATGTGGTGGGCGACGTTTTCCGTCGCGTAGTCTTCGACCTTGATGCCTAGGGGGTGGCCCGCGATATCCAGATCAAAGATTGGCCGACAGGATGCGACTGGAAGGTGCCGTTACCACCAGGGGTCCGAAACGCATGGGCAACAGTGCGTCGGGAACCAGCAGCGCCGGCTCTGTTCGGCCACGCGTAGACTACATGCCGAAAGGAGCGAGTGACGTTCATCGTAGATGATCGATCACATCCCCTCTCGATTGGGCTTGGCGGGGACCTCCGAATTACCCCATAATTCCCTGCATTCGAGGTGGACGCGCCACAGACACAGCACTGCCGACCGATGCTCGGCCCAAGCAAAAAGAGACAAACGTTGATAAGGAAGCCGGCATCAAACCAAAGAAGATACCAAAACATGTCGAAGACGGCAATTTGGATTGTGGTGACAACCTTAGAGGATTAGTATGCGCCCCGACGCGCTCCGACATTCAGAAGGGCTTGAGTCTGATGACGACGTCGACCTTTCCTTGACACTGCCGCGCGGCGTAGCGGGCGCGCGCGCCGTGACAATTCCGATAGCCCCCATTGTGTGTTAAGTGCGGAACAACTGCGTAGATATGTTGGGCATTTGTGGAGGCACGGTTGGTATATCCCATCTTGCCTTCAAGAGAATGCTGACTGCTGGGGGGAACACCGACGCACTCCCCAACGCCGACTCAGGATATGTAGGAAGCCCACGAGTGCAACAAGTTTTGGAACACCATCTGCACACCTGCTATGTCACAACTTTAGTCCTACATCCCGGTTGCAGAATCACGGGCTGATCTGCCGACTTCAACGCGCTAGTCGACCACGAGACTTGGCGCAGACGCCACCTAGAGAACCTTCTCAACAGTGCATCTCAGGGAACAACCAGTTGGCACGTGGGCAGGCGAGATTGCCCCGTCGTCCAAACGCAAGGCCATGTGCACGCATATCCTGGACCAATGCTCGACAGGGCTACGTTACTCCCACGGCGTACTCTTCAAGGAATCCACTGAGATGATGGCAGTTCACAGAGCAGAACACAACATCTGCTCCTGTCAGCATGAGCATGCCCAAGCATGCATCCGAGAACTAGCACAGGCGGCCCGCTACATACAATCGCTGACCGTAGACTCTGTCAAGATTGCACGAGCTTGTTTACACTGGGCAGAAACCCATCCGCCGATCGAGACCAGACAAGCACTTTCGTCGTGAATAGTGCTGTGTTTGATCTTGACGATCCAACGGCGCTTCGAGAGGCTCATGGGCGAATCCGCCGACCACCGCCGAGTGGACTTGGGCGCGCAGCGCGCGCCGACAACGTGCCGATTAAATCTCCGCGGCGCAACCGCAACCCACGATAATGGCGGTGGTTTGACAAGGAGTCCCATCACTGGGAATGCCCCAGCTGCGCCAAATTTTTACAAAAACAAGCGGTGCCGCCTGCTAGCGAAAGGCAAATGCAAATTGCCTACACCGCGCCAATTGCCAGGCAACTTCGAACAAGCCCCGCCGGCTGCGCCAGCACTGGCGGGCGATGCACCTGCACCAGCGGCCGTTGCGCCATCAGTGGCGTCGGCACCTGTAGATGTGCTGTTCGACGAAGTGCCAGCTGCAGTAGAAACGTCACCTGCGCGACAGAGACCGCGGGGCCGCGCGCGGCCGTGTGCAGTTCCCCTTGCACGTGGGGGCCCTGGAGACCCGACCGTGGGTGCCAGGAGCTACGGCGTGACAAGAGGCTCGCGCGGCCCTGGCAGCAGTGGCGCGAGCATCCCCGGCGCCGGCAGCTCTTCTGGCCCACCGCGTGCCGCGGGGCGGCGCAGGCGTGAGGAGAGCGGTGATGCGCCGCCTCCTCCTCCTCCGCAAGCAGAAGCACGGCCGCGCGCGACGCTGCCTGATATGACCGAGGTTCATTTTTTAGATCAGCCTCCACGACCAACGGTGCTTCAATCCGACCGTCGCATTCACGGAGTCGCGCAAGCCCCGCTCGCTTCGGCAGCTCGCCTCCGAACCGCGGGCGCGCCCAATCATGTCCAGAGCAGGGCTAGATTTTTGTGCGGTTGAATGGGGTAAATAGACGCAGTTGACTCATGTCGTATCCAGGCAATGCAGTCATGCTGTCAGTCAGCCCCCCTTGCAAATTCAATGGGGCACTCGAGTGTTGATGTGATGGTTTACAAACAATGCATCACATGTCACATCATAGACCGCTGCATTCGTTGGGCTACTGGTCAACATGTTGCCAACATTGCGACGCATGTCACGCGGGGCGCCAATCGCCAATGTTGGATGCAACGTGGCCCGGCTTCGGCGATGCACTCCGACGGGGAGGGCGCCTTAATCAACGGCGCCGCCAAGGCTACCCTAAAAGCCGAGGGCGCGGAGCGCCGCGCCCGTGCCCGAGGCCAGCGCCGACGTCCAGCTTGTCTACCAGACCACCCGGCATTGGACCGCGAGCAAGGGGCGGGCACGTCCGACCGCAGACGCGCTACCCAGGCCGCATATAAGTTTTCGCAAACTCTCCAGACTCACGTGGCACACTGTACTTGGAAGCGCCGAGGGTCCGCGAGATTGGCTTCGATGCAACGGCCGCTCGCGCAGTGCTGGCCTTCGCCGCGAATTTGACGACCAAGTAAGGAAGCGCGCGGATGGCCACGGCGAGCAGTCTTCCGCCCAAGGTACACTTAGCCCTGCAGTTTCTTATCAGAAACTACTTCCGAATAGAAGAGGTAGTCGCTGTAAGTCTGGTTGATAGCATCCACGCACATATTCGCTGCAATGCCGTACATTGGCAGTTCTACCATGGTATGCTACGTTAATGGCGTCGCACCCGGACGCCGCCGCTGCGAATCCGACGGCGCAGCCCTCAACGTCCACGACGTCATCGGATGTGCACGCGCACGGAACATCCAATGCCTCAAATCTCCGGAACATCTAGCAGTTTTCGACGAAGACTTATTTAGATTTGAGGAAGTGACGGACGCGCCAGCGCCGGGTGGCAACGCTGGAGAGGAAGAGCAACCTCTAGCTCCAGCCGCACCCAGTGGCAGACTTCCGACCATCATTGAGAAACCGGGAATGGATTTAGACGCAGGTACCATGGAGACGTGGTACATCGATTCCGAAGGGGAAAATGACTACTTGAGGGTACCCATACAATGTGCACATTGAAACGAGTACACATAATCGTGAGCTCGTGACTGTAGCCAGCGAGTGGCAAGGACACTTGCAGGACATAGGCTGTGATCTTCACGACGATGCTGTCGACGCATCCCCAGTGCCCTGCACCACCGACTATGACGAAACCTACGGTATGGATTCGGACGAACACAGTCAGTGCGCTGAGCTTTGCTTCGCTAGTGACATGGTCGTCCTGACAGAGCGGCAACGGGAATCACTGCGCGATGGCTGGATAACCGCAATGCGCGTTTATGTTACAGCCACAGCCAAGGAAGCTGTGGCCTGCAAGGAAGATTACCTGACCAAGGCAAACACATCAGAGAACCCGGCCAAGATTTCAAGGCCTTGCGCACAGGCCTCAGAATATGGTACGCTAGCAAATTCTTCAATATGCTGGAGATGCAGAATGCCATCAACATCGTGACATCGAGATACGCGCGCAGGTGGAAGTTCGTGAGGAATGAAAAGGGCGCGATGGAACGAACCGCCCGGCTTCGTCCGGTCCTTCGCGGGGCCACGAATGTTGAAGCATTCGACGCGGAAGCCTTCCCAGGCACAGCTCGTCGAGCAAGGCAGAGACCGCTCGCAAGCGCGGCCGCGTGCAGGCGCATGTCAATTTAGTGCGAGCGGCTATGCTACTTGCGCCGTTTTCGATGCAAAGACCACGGGCGCCCACGACCACTTGGAAGAACTCACGGACGCTGTAGTGGAAGAAGAGACGGCGAATACAGTACCTGATATGTTCATCTTCCTACGTGGTGCATTAGCACGCGCATTAATCACGCAACTGTGGTTGATGGCGCATGTCGTCTCATCGCGACGTGTCCAAGAGCCCGCCGACCTACGCACGCGGAGACTCAATGCCGCGGCGCGCAAATTACAGCGAGGTCCAAATGACAGAATTGATCAAAGCATGGCTCCGACAGGAGCCGCGGACTTTCGCGGTGATTCCGGCCATCGTCGCCTCGCCGGCGAGGCCGATGACGAAATTAAGGAGCGTGGCATCCGATGGGCCAACTCCTCATCGCGTGGGCGCGCGCCCGACGGAAAGGCAGCGGTGCATCTGATCGACGCGCGCTGCAAGACTCATCGCTTGCAGGTGCGCTCCAGCTTCTCAGTGGAAACCCGATCTACAGCCCATGATTTGGAAGACTGCTGCCCTACCATTGCGGCGCTATGCGAGCTCGAGGCTAGACCGCTAACGCCGACACAAGTCAGGAAAATCCTAGAGATGGGTGATCTGAGCAACAGGGCGATCCTGAACAAAGGAGCCGAGTCGGTCTTCAAGTCTCTATTATACAGGACCCGAAAACACAAGCTGAATCTGCCCAATTTGGCATATCAGCTGGATGCGACAGGTGATGGATCGAGGTAGCTTTCACGGCGTATGGAGGCGTGGCGCACGAGATGTGACAGCCGATGGCCATGCCAAAGCTGTTTGTGTCGTGAGCTACTATTGCAAGTAGCACAGGGTAAGCAATCATTGAATAGAAGGTCGAAAGGTACACGTCCGATCGACGCAACCGATCATCACCAACGTAGGTATGTCCTTTTCAGGGCTAGCGGATATGGCATCTGGATGGCCACATCACAGTTCACATGTGCTCGGACACGTGCCACATACGCGCATCAGCACGGGCGCGGGTTTTCTTTTTTGATGCTTGACAGGTTTGTTGGCGCCTTTTGTTTGCAAGCTTTGACGTCTGACGGTTTGGCCAGACGTCCTAGCCAAACTCATTTGCAAGTAATCGCGTGGTTATGCCCGCGTTTCCCCATCATGATTGTGGTCTGTCGTGCGTTCTTGCCCATGACAGATCATGCTTCTAATGAGTTGTGTGTTGCCTTCCTTGGCTTTTTGCACTGCGGGGAAGGTGAACATATAAGCTTTCCCCTCTTTGCCTTGCTGCTGCGCTTTAGGACTGGGCCTGACGTTCGGCCCCTCCCTTCCCGGCATTGAATGAACGGTCTCAAACGGGGGGATCATATCGCGAACGCCATGGTCCATATTCGGCGCTGCTTTGGCTCAAGGTAGCGCTATACGATGTGCTTGCTTTACGTCTGAGAGGCACGATCGAACCTGAGTGTCGGTTACAGGCCGGATCCGCCGACGGTTCACCCTCGCATCCCACGTTTTGTGTCTTACATGTCGTCTTGCTTGCCATCAAGCGGGAAGGTATGGGTTACCCTGACACGTCTTATTGCGCGACCCGAAGAAACAGGGCCTCAGCTTACTACCGAATGGATCTCGTGACCCCCGCTTTCCATTCAAGATGACGCCGCGGGGACAGCGTAGTACTTATCTTCGTGGCAATGGCGGCCCTGTCGATGCAAATGTTTAGCCCCTCGGTTGGTTTCGGCGCTTGCATGTATCACTGACGTCATCGCCGCCCTAGTCGTAGTTATCGTGCCCTCCCTCTTGGCATTCCCCCTTTCCCCTTTCTCTTTGCATCATCTGTCCCCCTTCATCGTTTCTGTTGTTGTGGATTCCGTCGCTGTATTTCTTCTCCCTTTCACCAGCGTTTCCCTTTACGGATTTTCTGACCCCTCTTCCCCACATTTTTTTCCTTCGCAGTCTCCCTCTGCTTCTCTCTCATCACGCCCCCCGGGTTTGTCAGTCTTTCTGTTTGTGTTCCGCCCTTCCTTCTCGATCCGGTTTTCTTTGATTATTACTCTCTCTCCTTCTTGTCTGTTATCTGGTTATCTGTCTATGACCCTCAATGGCTCTCTGTCGTCTCTGGTCTCTCTCCCCTTCCCTCTCCATCTATATGTCTGTTCATATTTTTTGTTATCTCTCTTTCTCTCTGTCTCTCTCCTCTCTCTCTCTTGCTCTCTCGGTCTCTCTCTCTCTCTCTCTTTCTCTCTCTCTCTCTCTCTCTCTCTCTCTCTCCCTCTATATATATGCAGTTGTATACACAAGTACCTTACTATACCTACATATCGCCCTCTCTTCGTTTTCTCGTTATCTCCCGCTTTCGTTTTCGTTTTGTTGGTACCAGTCTCTTCTGTCGTATTCCCCTTTCCTTTTCACCCAACCCCCCTTCCTTCCCATTCGTCCCCTCCGTTCTTCTCCTCATGATTATTTCCCTCCGCCCTGCAGAGAGGTGGAGTGGATGGAAACGCACCTGCGGAATTCGGACGCTACATGGCAGGTCGTCGTGACGCATTTCCCGCCCTTGTTCCGCGGGTCCTCGGCCAGATGCCTTCTGGAGCTGACCCCCGAGTCCGTCAATTTAGAGTCTGATCGACAATCATGTGGGGGGAGGGACCTCCAGAGCATAATCTTGATTGCAGCTTTGTGTTGTGGCTACCGGAAATAGGAGACAGAGCAAATCTGACATATATTCTCGCGTCTGGGGACAGTGGGTATCGCGGGTTGTGTGATCCGCGTTCCAGAGCCATCGCATCATAGTTGGTCAAGCTGGAGTTGGTGTAGGACCCCTTTGTTTCGATTGGTCTCTGAACGACTTGCGGGCTGTGCGCAAGCGAAGCGGACACAGCAGGTCAGTGGCGTTATGGGAATTGTTGCCGATTTTCAGGGCAATCGGCAGTTTCAGCAAGTCTGAGGAAGCAGGGTTTGATGTCATTCTGTCAGTCAGTCAGAATGGAAATGGACTGGTAGCTTGGTACCCGCCAGTGGTAGGGAGGCTCCCCGCCTCCGTCGTCCTTTCCCCCCGCCGCCTCCGTGTCTGCCTCCACCTTCCCCGCCTTCCTTCCGTGAGTTCTCCGTGCCTTTCTCCCCTTTGCTCCCTCCAGATTTGATTCGAAGCGGAACCATCTGCATCACGTCAATTTCGGAGGTCTGGGCGGAGTTCGTGGACCGGCGCTGGACCCTCTGGCTGACGAGCCAACAACACACACCCATACCCATAGGGGGATCGGAGAGGGCTATGGGTGCGTGTTGTCGGATGGGGGTCCCGCTCGAACGGGAGCGTTCCCCAGGGTCCGATAACCCGCATCCATACCCACAGCCAGTCCTCCTCCCAACGACCCCCCTATGGGTATGGGTGTGTGCTGTTCCTTCGTCACTGGCGGCACATCCAGGAAACCTGAGCGGACCTCCCCAGGTTTATGTTCATGCCGAGTTATCTTCGATCATCGGATAAATGCGTGGCCGAACTCGGGCACAGCTCGGTCACTCGAGTGCAGCTCTGGCGACAGAGCTCGAATGGTTCCTTCCATGGTGCTGGATCTTGGCTGCCCCAGCCGCACGCAACGCCCTGCGGTGCGGCCCAGGTTCGGCAAGAAGGAGTGGACCCGTCTTGCCAAGAAGTACGGCATCGACCTGATCGTGTCGGGTCACCGCCATATGCAGGAGGTCCACTCGCCGGAGGAGGATCGCCATGAAGGAAGAAAGTCCTGAAAGAGAAACGTGCCCCGAAGTTTGTTTGGCCGCCTTCGGGTTCCCGGGGGCCCCTCACGGGCCCCATGGCTGTCAGAAAGCGATGTGTGAGGTGAAGCTAGTCTTGGGGGGAGGCCCCCTGGTCCAGGACCCGTTTCTATCAGGACCTTGGTTTAGTATTGAAAGGAGACGAACTTCCTGAAGCCGACCACGTGGGTCGTCTCTGGGGGCGGTGGCGGCATCACGTCCGAGGATGCTGCAATTTGCCCGCTCGCATCTTGGGGGCATACTTCACTTGGTCGGCGGCGCGCGCCGCACAGAGGGATGCATGGCGAAGAGAGGGGTGCGGCCTGCTGAGAGAGCAACGCAACATATGGGGCGCCCTCCCGATGTTCCATGCCCCCCCCCCCCCGTCTGAGAATCTTGGAAGGGTAGCGGTGCTCCTCGGAGAAGAGTGGAGAATCGGCACAAGCATAAATCGGCGCAGGTCCGCGCGGGCAGTTTTGATTGGCGCTGGACACGCCTTTCTGGCGCGCCTCCGCGCAGATATTCGAAAGGTTATGTTCATTCCGATTGTTGTTACTGTACTTTTTGCCCCTCCGCCGTCGTTATCCTGAGGGCGTCGGCCGCATGGGCAGAAACATAGGATGTCGGTCGTGCAGCGGCGTGGAATGCAGAAGGCAGGGGAAGGGTTTTGGGTGCAGGTGTTTGTGTGTGATTCATAGACACCGAGTTTCTCCGCGTCAAGCCATGCGGTGCTTGCCAGGAGTCTCCCTCACTTTTCTGCCGTTGCTCCTCCAAGAGACTGGTCATGGTGGCTACGTTTCCCTCATCCCCATCCCGCTCCTGCTGCTCCTCCCTCTCCTCGCTTCTACCAATTCCTCCCCAATACCCTTCATCTACACATGCTGAAGCCCACTACCCTCGTCAGTCCCCCGACTACGCGCTGAGACTGTCGCGCCCTCTCCGTGCAGTCGTTGCACATGAATTCAACAGCATTGTTCAATAGGAGCGGTTGCGGTGTTGCAAAATGGTATTACCGCTTCAGCGGTGCGCCTCATTTTAGGATCGGCGCGTTTTGACCATCGTTCTGCATGGCGCTCTCGACCCGGCGTGGGCAGTTCTTCATCGTTGTGTCCCCGCTCATTTTCACTTCCGCCGTCCCCTGGTCCTGTCACTTGTCCCCCTGCTGCTAATGCTGCTGTTCTTCCTCGTCCTCCACCTACACCTCCTCCTCCTCCTCCTCCTCTTCCTCTTCCTCCTGCTTGTCCTCCGGCTCATCCGCCATCTGATCCCCCTCGAATGTACACAGCTCCCCTTCTCTGATTGCGCATGACACGATAGTGGTCTTGGGGGGCCTTAGGGCCGCGGGCAGGAAGTCAGGCATGGAGCAAGCTCACCTAGCCTACCCCCCCTATTCTCCACACTCACTCCTGCATATCCCCCTTCCCTCGCCCTTTCTACCCTTTCCCGCCTTCCCCCTCCCCACCCTCACCTTCGTCCCTACATCCACCCTGCTCTATTTACCTCTCTCCTCCGCCACTCCGTCCCCCTCCACCTCCCCACCTCTTCCGCCGTCTCTTCCCCATGTTGCTGCTTCTATTTCTCCCGCTGCTCCTTCGCCTCTGCCTCCGCCGCTTCCACTTCCGCCGTCTTCTTCGCCTGCGCCTCCGCCCTCGTATCCGAATTGCCTACCTCTGCTCCTCCTTTTCTGCACTCCATGGCTTGGTCCCCCTTTCCTATCTAGGGTTTGGAGAGGGTCTGGAGGAGGCACACCCAGGATGACTTGACTTGAACAGTGTTCAGGCGATCAACACTAGTTTGGTGCCTGGATTGGTTGCTGCTTATTTGGAGTCGCGGTCCAGCCAGAGCGCACGGCTGGTCCGCGCTCTAGCGTCAGTTTCTCCCGCGCGCGCCCTGATTGCTCTGGCGCCATGCATCACAAGTAAGCAAATTCAGGGGACTCCGACACCTTCGGGCGATGACGACGCGTACGGCTTCATGGATATCGAGCTTGCTAAGGACGCCATCATGATCGAGGCAATCTCCCATTCTGGCTTGGTGCGCCACAGAACGAAAGTACAGCAAGTGCCTCCTCAACCTGATTACGATGAGCAAGCGGACGACAACGATGGTTCCATAGGGAGTGGGAGCGGCGATTTCAGAAATGAGAGCGAGATCGCAGAGAACTTAGGTCGGGTGTGTTTCGCCAGTGGATATGCTTGACTCTCAGATGCGTCAGGGACGGTGTCGCTTTCTGTCTCGGCTGCTACCAATCAGGGACGTTGTCTTGATGGAGGACGGCCATTGTGCACAAGCTGACATTCTTCGTGTGAGGCTTCATTACAGCTTCAGGTCCTGAGTGTCGTAATAACTACGAGGCGGCGTTTTGTATAACGCCGAGCTCACGCCTAACACAGCCGTGCAATTCCAGCACTTCTGCAGATGGTGGGCGGCCCCTTTTGCAGACTCGTGTTTTCTCTCGGGCCCCGCGAACAGTTCTCTGACGGAGTACATCAGCTACATGTGTAGAAGGCGATTCCGTCGCCGACCAAGTTGTCTGTCTAAAGTTATGATTTGTTGCGGCCGGAACATCAAGTTATCGTCGATGCATATCCCATGGCAGGTGGGGCTCTCACCATTCATGTCCACGGGGCCCTCACCTTTCAAGCGGGTGCTCGACGTTAGCGAACGGAAGACATTTGTTGTCATTTCCCTAGGGGATTGTCGACGGGAGTGCGGGTCTCGGCATCATTTGTGCGGGCTTAGCTTATCCTGGCCCTTGTCCTCCCTCTGCCGCCCCGTGCTCTCTCTGATCCGCCCCCTCCTGCTCCCCCCTGCCCGTCCAGGGGGAGCTGGGTGAAGCATGATGCGGCCTCGTCCTCCTCCACCCTGTCTGGGGGGGGGGAGAAGGGCAACAGGAACAGGAGTCCTCCTCCCTGGGGAGGCTCCTCGGACGATTTTGGACAACTGCTGGCCGCGGCCGCGGGGCAGGATCGCGCCCGCGCGCGCGTGCCGCCTTCGTCTTCGTCGTCGTTGGGGAGAACAAGGGCGGGGGAGGGACGAGGGAGGCTGGAGGAGGAGGGGCTAGGAGCGAAGGGGGTATGAAGGGAGGTGGTGATCAATGGTGACGGTTCGGCCGCACGCCTGTGGGTGAAGTGAGAAAGAGAGATAGAGAGTTTTCTGAGAAGTTTTCTGTGTCTTCGGGAAAGGCTTAGAAGACGTCGCGGGAGGCCGGAGGGTTGCCGAGCCTTCTGAGAAGGCCTGCCCCTTCTCAGTCCCCCCCGTGCGCGCCACCGAACGATGGTCAGGTGGAGGATGGACAGCGGCATTAGCAACATCAGCAGCAGGAGGGGGATGACGATAATCCAAGAAAGACGAGGACTGCGTGAGTGAGGAATGGAGGCGGAGGAGGGAGGAGCAGGAGCAGGGGACGGCAGTTTGAGCAGGATGAAGTTGTGGGTGGGGAGGAGTAGTGGTGGCTCGTCCCTCCGCCCCCCGTCCTCATGTCTCTCTGTTCTCCTCCGAGCTCCGCTCCGCTCCGTGCTCCGCCCTCTCCCCTCCGCGCTCCGTCCTCATGCCCCCTCCCCCTCCCTGCTCCCGCCTCCGCGCTCCGCCACCTGCGCAACCCCCGCAACCTTTCCGATTCCGCGAGGCCCAAGCGGAGGAGGCGCTGGGTTCCGGGGGAGGCGTCCCCTCGCCGGCCCCTGGCGGAGTCCGTCGTCCTCTACCCGAGAGACGTTCCTGTCCAATGGGCGCCTCTTGTCCTGTCTTCTGCATGTCGGTCTTCCCCGAGTGTTCGACGCGGAGTCGACGCAGGCTCGGCGTGGACTCGACGCGGATTCGACGTGGATAGCGGAACTAGAACAGACAAGGCCCCCCGAATACAGCACAAGTCACCCGCTTCCGCCCCCCTCCCTCCCTCCTTGGAACTGTTGGCGCGGAAGGCCGTGGGGGCTCAAGGGCGGATGCGCAGGGTGCAGCGGCCAACGCGGCCCCTTGCTCCCGTCTCCTCCCCCCACTCTTCGCGCTCTGCCCCCCCCCATTCCCTCGGACGAAGAGAAGAGACCCCGTCAACACCACGGAGTGCAGATCCAGCGAGGAGGTCCACGATACTTCCCCCAGCTGAAGGTCGGAAATGTCTCTAGCGTGAGGTGGGGAGGGGGGGCGCACCACCAGGAGGGATACCTTTGGGCCCACGAGGGGCCATGGGTTTCGGACCGCTCCTTAGATCCAGGTTGAGGGACCTAGGCGTGGCCGGAGCTCCTCGTGGCCAGGATCGCAGCGTTCTTTATGGTAGCATTTTTTTACCAGCGCAGATGGAGCCCAGTGGCACGAAACGACAGATGAGCGACGGACGACAGACGAACGAAAAAGAGGCGGCGCAGAAGAAGGGGGGGCGGGAGGGGAAGAGGGGGAGGGCAGGCAGGGGGCGCCCGCGCCGGCGCAGCCCCGCACTCACCCGAGGGCGCCGCGGCGGCACCGCCGCGGCCGCGGCCGGCGAGCAACCACGCCTACCTCCGCCTGGCAGCGGCGGAGATGCCGGCAGCCATCTGGCCCATCAGCTCGGCGAGGGCTGGGCCAGAGAGCTGGCGCAGCGCGACGTCCAGTCGGCGCTGCAATTGCCGCCGCTTCCCCCCCGTGGGGGCCCGCAGCAACGCCGCCAGCTCCTCGGCCGGCCGTCCGCCTGCCCAGACCAGCGCGCTTACCAACGCCATGTGTTGAACACGAGCCGCCGCCTCCGCGGCCTCCGCACCGCCCGGCACGTCCTCCACCGGGCCTGGCCCGGGAGGGGGGGCGGGCGGCTCCGCAACCCCGGCCATCCCCAGCGGGGATGGCCGGCCGCCTCGACCTCCACCGGGCCTGGCCCGGGAGGGAGGGGCGCATCCAGGCCGAGGGAGCGCGCGAGGGCTGGCCCAGCCTCCGACGCCTCCATCGGGCTGCGCGGCACCTCGACCAGATCGGCGGCTCTGGGAGGGCAGGTCGGCTCGACCTCTTCGGGCCGATGTGAGAGGCGTCGCGTGGGAACCTGATCGTCGACACCAATCTTACTCCTCAACTCACCCCCTGTAGGAGCGACGGAAACGGTCCAAGCACTGGTTTTCCATAGTTTTCTGTCGCGTTGGCTATTGCGTTTTTAAGTGGCTTCAATATGTTGGTGTCTTGAACTTTCACATGCTGTATATATATATACATATAGATAGATATCATACGCACGTGAAAAAAACTCATTGTACTTAATTCGCGAAAATCCTGCGTGTGAAAAAAACAATACGCGGAGGGATCGGGCCACTTTGTTGATCAGCTTCGGGGGTGTAGGGATAGTAATAATCAGATTGAATAGTTGCAGACACTGTGTTGGAAGAGGCAGAGGGGGCAACAGAAAACACATTCACGTGCCACCGCCCTTCATTTAGGGCCAAAGAGTTTTGTTGTTTGGCATGTGTTCCGTCGCGCATTGGCTCAGGATTTTCCTTTTCTGTGATATTTCGTCCACGGTGGGTTTTGCATGTCCAAGGCTTACAATGTTGCCGCAGAGCGTTGGCTCGCTGCCGCTGTGCCCGACCCGAATGCGTCAGGCCACCCGTTCTGCACCACGTCTCCCGTTGCAGCAATGCACGTTGTCTATGATATTATGGTGACAGAGGCTGGCGATTTGAATCCTTCTGAAAGTCCGGACCTGTTGCGTACAATTTCGGCGGCTGTGTGCGAGGAGTGCAAAAAGAACGATACAGGTGGCCTGGCTGTGTTTCACATCTCATCGGTATTGAAGAAGATGTGCTGCATGATCACGCACCAAAAAGAACTGATGCGTATTGACAGGGACACGTGGGAGAAAAAACAAAGTTTGGAAGCGGCCGTACCTCCAGCGCGGGTTGAACCAGCACGAGCAAGAAGGTTATGTAAAGTTCCACCAAGCGGGAACCCGCCTCTACCGCCTCCACCTCCACCAGATCAGGCAGCGGCGCCACGCAGCCGGTACGCCAAGCTACTTGCTGAGAATCGGCGATTGAATATTAAATTTGAACAGTGCAAGGCACGGTTGGCGTTACTGGAAAAGGAAAGCAAAGGAACGCAACGAGCAGCTTGCGAGTCATAAGCAGGAAGTGGTTGACACATATCATTATATGGTCGTCCCCAACAAGCGGAGAAAGAAACAAACACGGACGGGGAAATTTACCTGGAGGGGAGGGTATCGCATGGCTTTTCGGAGAATGAACGGACATTCGGCGGCGGCTGCACTCACAGTTGCCTTGGGGCTGCATGTGTCTGAACAAGTTGTGCCGAAGTTGGGGCGGTCACTTGGAATGACTACTCAACTACAGCAGCGCCTTTGGTACGAGGAACAGGAGGCACGCATTGAAAACGATCGTGGGTGTTTGGTTGATTCTGGTGGTCGATTGTTTTCATGGAACATTACTTCGTTGATGGGGTGACGCAACAAACACCGCAGTGCAACTGTACAAAGCACATACATGCGAAGTGCTAGCAGAATACAGCCATTTACCACTGAATGGAGACACGCGCCCCCTTCACAGTGTCATTGAAAGGATGGGCAGACTTGGCAGAAGTTCCTGATGACAACAGTGGTAAGAGTCATTTGAAAATATGCACAAAACAACTACGCAGCATTGGGGCGCCAACTTGGACGGATAAGATTGCATCATCAAAGAAGTGCTGGGAATGCGACCCCGTGTTATCGGATTCTTTCCACGTGTCAATATTCTTCTTCGGTTCGGACCAAGATCCCGACCAAGTGGGATGCGACACGTTTCTAGATGCAGCGATGCTTGACGAACGCCGCGTCTGGAAGTTGCGGAATTGATGCTTCCAGCACTGCTTGCACTTGATGGTGAAGCGCCAGCTGACCGACTTAGGTAGTTATTGGAGTTCGCTGGCGAAAGCGATTCACACGATCAGGACGCGCCTGAAGTCCTTTCTCATCTTCTTGGACGGCGACGGGAAAGGTGACCTGCTGAAGCAA